TAGAATGCGTACGCGAACCCTGAAGGTAGCACCGCTTCGCATGCCTCCCGTGCCTCTGCGTCGCCTTTTCCGCTTTCTCGAAGCCCTCAAAGTGCCAATGCGTCAAAGGCAGCTAAAGGGCTCAATTGCGATGACCTATGAGGCACAAGACACGGACTATATGCATAAGGTTCTTTTCAAATCTGAGTTCTATACCGTTTGTAGTTGAACCCGTGAGTAAAGTAACGCAGCGCATCATGTCAGCAACGTGGCAGACACGCCTTTGATGAACGGAGGTTGTTGTCCTAGAACTTGATTGATAGATGATTTTCCAATTCATTCATGAACTTCTAGAAATTACTTCTGACTAGTAGGTTCGTCCCTCTAGAGTCATGCTTTTGTTTTTCAGAAGCTTCGGGACTGATGAAAGCTCTCAGGGATGGCACAGACGAGGTCAAAGGTCTCCTAAAGTATAGCTGTAACATAATTTTGGAGTGTCGGTACGTTTTTAAATCATATAACAAACGAGGTAATTGCACTGCGAATACCTCTATCCCTGCTCTACGTCTCTCGCCTGTGACTTGCATGGCAGCAGGTTAACAACATGCACCGAGTCAATAACAAGACTTAGTCGTGAGCCTTGAGATCACGCATTGTATGTTGCCAACATCCAGCCAAGTATGTTGCAGTTAAGACGCAGATCAAGGGTAGCAGCAATCGGGAGAGGGCGGTGGAGGGATTTGTCGGTGATCAGTTCCGCCTCCGAACCAAGACGGAGTTTACCCCATGACAAGACAATTGTTACAAAATTATTGCGCCGATCAGCTTGCATTTCGGTTGTGATTTTCCAGCGCGAGTTCGATAACTGTAAAATGAAAATGTATGGAAATCGCGTCGATGAAATCGCCTAAACTCTGTCTTGGGCCGTAGCGGGGTGCACGGTTTGTAGCAAATGTCCTATGAGCGGAGCGTATCACTTTAGTCTTTTGCATTATTGGATATCGTACTCAGCTTGCACAAGCACAAACTGAAATCAAAAAGTCTATGGCAGGTGCAAAGCGACCTTTGTTTGACCGATTCATTCCCATCACTATTATTCAAATCATCAAACTGACCAATGCGAATTGGTGAAGCGGATAAGACTGGCACCTACATATCGCAAAACCAAGCTTTTTACGCAACTATCTGAGCATACGGAGTACATGACACAGTGATTCATTTTCAGATGTTGCCGAGCTGTTTTCCGGCATCCGGAAAATTTCCACAAACACAAAAATACCGTATGCCATGCTTACCATAGACCGCTCGCACCCTCTTATGACCAGGTCATCAATTTTCAAAAGAAAATTGCTGCAATGTACGATCCAAACCAACCGACAAGCAGCAAATTGTTCGAAGATGACGATGATGGCGTCGAGCTCGTCACAGATGACACTTCCTACTTCGAGGACTATGATGGCATGGAGGAGTTATGTGGCTATGACCCAGAAGGCAGTCCAGAACCTGGAGAACTAGTTCAACTTTCGGAAGAAGGCGTAATGGTGTGCGGTGTTGAAGAGATTGAAGACGAATTCATGGATGAAGTAGAGGAGGGCGAATACTTACCCGAGGGCAATTCACAGCTTCTGATCAGGACGTCATCGCCCGCTGAGGTGTGTAGGCTTCATACTCTTGTTGATTATGACGTTACGATTGCTCGTTGCTTCGAATTCGTTTCCTAACACGCACTTGCTTCATGTAAGCCTTTTACTCGTAGTTTATAAACTCTTAACAGAAGGCGAGACGAAAATCGACAATGATAATATATCGTTTGTTCCCCAGCAAGGTTCCCATAGATT